GTGTGTGTGTGTGTGTGTGTGTGTGTGTGTGTGTGTGTGTGTGGCAAATCCGAAAGAGGAGAGGTACGCAGGTTCTTTTCCCAGATGAAGGGGACAGGTGTTAGGGACAGGAGGTGCCGTGTGGCCTGGGGGTGTGGTCAGGTGGTGACACACTTGTGCCCACTTACACATGGGGTTCTGGTTACACACACACACACACACACACACACACACACTCAGATCATATTGACCATGTGTTCTAACGTGCAACATAAGCCCATCGAACCTCTCATGCTTTGCAAATCTATGAGTCAAAACAAACCAAGAATGATTCTCATTATGCCAAAGTAAACACAGAAAACTGAGCTCTGTAGCAGAATAATGTGATTACAGTTTGAGAGATGACAGGTTGTATGAACTGAGCAGGACACACATGCAGAACTTTGTAGGGATTGTGTTGCCATAAAAAGTGTGAGAGGAACAACAATTATAAAGTGGTTCTATGTGTTTCCTGTGTGACTGTCAGGGTAAAATGTAAAAAAAAAAAAAAAATACAAATAAAAAACCAATTTGGTAACAATTTTAACAACCAATAAGCTCAAATCTTTACAGAATGAACATAGACATGGGTTTGACTTCGACTGACGGGCGTTTTATGTGTATTGTAGCATGTGGCATCCAGCAGGGATCTATTCACGGACCACTCCCCATCCAAATATATTTGGGTCACACAGATATTTTTGAAATGCTTTTTCTTCCAAGGCTGGGTCTTGAACAAAAGTCATGTATAAATTTGCTGAAAGTTGTTGGGAATCATTGATGTGTGAAACCTGAAGCCCTTTGCAATAGATGTCTAAACAAGCTAAAACAAAAACTGAGCTGAGTTTAATTAAAAATGTGTTTAGTCTGTCTGAGTTGCAGCTTAACATTGATTAGCTGTCATTTAGACTTATCTGGAGAAGACAAAGGAGATGTATGTGGACTTCAGGAGGGGTAGGAACTCCCATCCACCCCTGCACATTGGAGGATCTGCAGTTGAAGTAGTGACAAGCTACAAGTACCTGGGTACGCAGATGAGCAACGACCTCAGCTGGAAGAACACCATCAGTCTGGTCAGGAAGGCACACCAGCGGCTCTACTTTCGAATGAGATGGGCTGGACTCAGCAATTCAGTCCTGCTGAATTGCTACAGTGGAGAGCGTTCTGTGTTCAGGAATCAGTGTGGCACGGAAACTGCACTGTTGCAGAGATGAGAGCACTGCAGAGGGTGGTGAAGGCTGCACAGAGAACTGCCGGAGTCAGCCTCCCCACCACCACCGACATCTACACCTCCAGATGCAGGAAGAGAGCCACCTGCATCATGAAGCACCCCACCCACCCAGCACACAGACTCTTTGCTCTGCTCCCACCTCAGGGAAGGAGGCTGCGGAGTATTAAGTGCAAAACGTCAAGACTGCATTCTTGAAGCCATTAGACTGGCTACCAGCAAATAAAAAGAACAACACYAGTCACCTTATGCATCCTGTGCAAACTGTTCATGCTGCTATATATTTATGACAWTTTGTCTCATGCTMWTGCCACCCAMCTCTCTCTACTTCTCTTTTATTTAAGTATTACTTTATATTTCACTTATTCTTTCTTCTTCTTTTCATGTATACATTGCTCTGGGGTTAAACTGGAACCATGGGTACAGAATTTCATTCCACCTCATGTTAGAAACATGTGATGTGAATGACAATAAAGTCTCCTTGATCCTTGATCTGTTTAAAATAAATAGATGTCTAAAAGGCATTATTTGTCCAAGCTTAGTCGGGCTATATAATTTAAAATTAAAAGTTTTGTAAGAACAAGAGCTCCAGATTAACATGGATTAGCAGCCATTTTCTTAGAGTCAGAAAATGTCCTTTTCAAGTCAAACAAACAATGTGTGACAATGTCAAAAAATTTGCATCATTCAAGTGTAACTCACCAAAAACAATCCAATAATTCCCTGAAAGGATCTTAAAATTACATTTAGAGAGCACATCGAAAGCTGGGTGTCCCTTGTTTGTAGCGTTGGTGTGTGTGTGTGTGTGGAACATGTCGTGTTTCTGTAAAACTGTGGAGATGGAGGAGATAGACGTCCGGCCCTGAGGTGTGGATTTCAGGCAGGTGCATTTTCTTGCCCAGTGGCACCTCAAGGGACAGGATAGGACAAGACGAGAGYGGGGGKAGGAGGAGGAGGAGRAGAGGGGAGGCAATCTGTGCTCTTTGCAGCAACACACACACAATCTACCGGTAGATCCTCGCTCAAAAGGCTGCCCTCCTTCCCCCCTCCCACCCGTCCTGCATCAGCAGCTCCCCTCGCTCCTTCTTTTAGTGGAATTCTTTCGGGACAATAGGACAAGTCCCGGTCTTTTGGCTGGTGCCTCCCTGGGCCTTCACAGGTCCTGACAGGAAAACAAAAGTGCACCTTGCACCTCTCAGCACCACCAGCAGCACCCTGAGGGCAAATACCTGAATACCTGCGGTTTAAATAAAAAGCGAGAGAGAGAGAAAGAAACCAAACAGAGTTAGGGGGTTAGAAGGAATGACGCATCATGAGGTAAGAAAGAAGAGAAGGATGAATAAAAGGAGAAAAACAGCTGCTGCCGTGTGTAATACAGTATATCTTACATTAAATTCTGATTCCTCGGTCAGAGATGCAAACGCTGTATTAYTTTTCCAGAAGAAACCTCAAAACGAGAAACAACATACAAACATCACTATGTTAGCCATTTACTTTAAAATGTTAAGACTTTCTTTATTACATCCCTCTCAGGATGTTTCTCTTCGCTCATGTTGTGACCTGCTGGTCTTGTTCATGCTCTCTCCTCATGCTGCCTTTTCTTACACAACATTTTGTCCTAATGGRCTCACGGCTGCATTATGCAGTAGTTCCACTCTTTTTTTATTAATTCATTTTTTTCAACAGTGTGCGCAAGACAGAATTTGGACAATCTGTGTTGCCAAATCAAAATGACCTGGGGCTCCTTTCAAAGAACCCCCACCCCACTCACCCACCCCGTCTGGGTGAGGAGTGTCAGGTCACACTTCGATTACAACTAATGAAATGAAGGCTGAGGTCACACGACTGAAACACTGAAGAGCGAAGCATCTTTTAATAAGAAACACTGAAAAAACTCAGAAACTCATAATCAGTTCATTTTTTATTATAAATAATTAAAGAGCTTCTTTTGACGAAAGCAAATGTCGCCTGTAGGTAATAAAAATAATGTTTGTTCTGATCTATAGTAATATCTTCTTTAAGCATGACCTGTGAACAAGATTTCTATTTTTTATTCGTATTACATCACACTTTTTTTATCAGCTGGAGTGGGGACACTGCAGCAGAAGAGTCTGAGATGTGTGCTCCACACAGAGGTCAGTGTGACACAGAGCAGCACCGGACGTGTACAATTTGATGTGTTTCTGTTCAACACTGGCTCCAAAACAGCTCACAGTGTACCAGACCAGAACAAAAACACAACGCAAACTGCTTAATCTCCTCATTGAAAACTGTTTAAAATGGACATTTTGGTGTGTKTTTTTATAAATGCCACATTAATGACTTTAATGAATCACCTCCCTTTTAAAAACAGCTTTAACAAAATAGACAACATCTGGAAAACAATAWGTTGCCACAAAACTGTAATAGTGCATATCAGTCAGTATAAATCATGTAGATCTCAGTGAGAGGACATGTTAAACTGACGGTCTGATCTTTTAAAGTGGAGTTTTCTGGAAAGCAAATAAAAAATTCAAGAAGCATTTCATTTTTATTTCACGTTGGTTTGTTTTCATTCTGGCTTGTCATCGTTCAAATAAATACATAAATAAAAATCTTTCCAGATTTTTGRTGCCTCCCAGACAGAATGAATTTAAGTGTGGTTGGATGAGAAATATAAATTTCATTCTGACACCCTACTGGTTTGTGTGATCCATCACACCTGCACACAACACAAATCATGTCACACTCCAGCAAGACTTATCTGAGGCATTTTGATGAAGTCACCTGATTTCCTCCTGATTGGCTGGCAGCACTAATCACCTCACCTGCTCTGGATTTGACTCATCAGCTCTCAGGCTTCTTCAGGCTGTTTGGAGGATCTTTGCTGAAGCATTGCTACTCTTGGGTAAAGATCTCAGCCTTTTGCTTACACTATTTACCAGTCTGTCTAAATCGTGATTCTTGTCCGTACCTGTCTCCAGAGTTTAAGGACTTCCTGAGTGCCCTCTGATCCACCTGTTTTCCAAGYCTGCCTGTAAACTCTTAYCTGAAGAGCCTCTCACCTGATTCTTCACGTGCWCTGCCTGTCTGCCTCCACCAAACTAAGAACYAAATACTCACCTGTTGACCTGGGGCCATCTCCTCCATGCTGAGTCTATACCTATCTGTAAGAAAGAAAACATCACACCTTTAAACAATAATTCACTGGATAATCAGACCAATACTCACCTCTGCAAACCTTATGCTCCAGGTCCTGTTCCCCATCACGCACCTGTAAATAATGAAGAAAAAACACTTATCTTTATTTTCTAAGTCTCCAGTCTCAATCTGTTTCCAGTTTTGCTCACTCCTGTTTACAAAACCTGATAATATCAGATGTAAAGAAGATGAGTGATAGTATATGTAGGGATGTTGACATTTCRTCAGCAGCTGCTGCCATTTTCTTCCCAAACTGCTGTGACCAGATTTTGCAAAGCTGCTCGGTGCRTTTGCTTGTAATTTCCTCCTGCTTCGTTATTTCTACGAATTTCAACAAATYGGGCTGACATCAGGTAGTTAGCTACAGCCACATCTTCGAGTTTTTAATTTTTTTATGCGTTTTGAAGAGACAATTTTTTTTGAAAAGAGGATCAAAGTAAATCACCCGAGTTTTTTTAGTGACCCCTTAAAGAGATAAGCTGCCATGAAGAACATTATTTTATCTGCCCTTCGTCCAAATTTGATAATGATTTGAAACGTCAAAGTATTTTTTTTTATCCAGAACAGCGCTTGTTGCAAAGTGTTTTGATGCTTTTCTTTGTTACTTGACACATTTAACACACTGTCATTGGTTGAGGAGCTTTGTTTACAAAACAGATGTCCACATGTTTTTTAAATTGTTTTAATTTCCTTTACTTTCTAAGACAAATTAAGTTGATTTGATGCTGCGGTTTACCTTGTGATGTTATTTTATACCTTTTCTGCTACTTTTGAATTGGCTTTTATTACGTTTTATTAGTTTTTAGGATACAAGATGCTTCCTACAAAACCAGAATGGGAATCTTTTCCTAAAATTCCATGGCGATATCTTGAATACTGAGGAAGTTATGAGCAAAATTAGAAAACAGCAAGGTGAAATGGTCACAAAGGCCCTGTTGGTTCTGCTGTGAACTACAGCAAGAAAACATGAGCTGATTTCACCTAAACAAAACATCAATAACTTCTCTCATACTTCAGATAATCACATGATTTTGGTGTTATTTTGTATGGTATGAAACGTTCTTTTGGAATCCGCTGTCAGATTTAATATTGGTGTAGGATTAAAAATGTATCCACATCCCTAGTATATGCAGCTGACACAGGTAGCCTACTGCTTCCCACATTCTTAACATTACGTAACATTTTAATATAACATTATAGTCATTATGACCTTTAGAAAAGTGGATTTTGGGGAGATGTGCAATAGTCCGCTGTGGTGCAGCTGAGCTTTTGTTATTACATTACATTTACTTTTAAACTTTACGTAGTTTTAAAACCAGAACTTTTACACTTGAGTAAAAAGCTTGAGTTGATGATTTAACTTCTACTGAAGTATTTTTAAACCATAGTACTTGTACTTGAGTAAATAATGTTAATATTTTTGACATCTCTTATTTTACTCGTTACAGACTGCTCTTTGAACAACCTCAGTTTTACCAGGTTGATGAGCTAACAGTTAAACAAGGCAGGGTTAAGACCAAAGTGGATTGGTGTTATTTTAAAACTTCAGTCTAAATAATTTTTTAACAGTTTATGCAAACATTATTTTATAACTTTTCATATCAATGTGACTTTCCCCATTAACTTAGGATTTTATGATTGCTTACGAGTACAGCAGCTAGCTGTTACACTTCTATTGGAGTGTGGTGTACATAAGTGTACTACAAAACTAACAGTAACATACAGATTTATTTAAAAATAAAAAAACAATTCTGAGGATGAAGTTTATTGAAGTTGTTTCACTTAAATGCCATTTTGATGTTGACACATGAACACTGAACTGTGGCGATTCAAAGAGCTATCTACAACAGGTAAGATATTCATTGATCATAACCTTTCACTTCAAAAGATCTGAAATGTTCTAACATCCTGGCTTGCCATTTTGAAGGTATACTTGTCATTTAATTTATTTTTTAACAAATTAAACTGAATTAATGTGAGCATTTGTTCTTTTATCGTCTGGTTGTTTTCTAATGACTCACTGATCAAATTCATTCTCGTTGCTCCTCTGCAGGCGTTCAGTGTGTCCGCGCTCACCTACCGTGAAAGTTCAGGGCCAAGAGAAACACGCACATTCACAGCTGTTTGTCACAAGGTTGGAAACCTCTGATAGAGACAATGTAAGTCATTTGTTTATCCTCCTGTGTCTTTACGACTCATCGTCTGCCCTCTGACCCCTGTGGGACAGAGCCTCAGTGTTGAGGAAGAAAGCGCAACACACATGTGCTATTGAAGGGGACAGCAGGGGTGCAGAGCTGGGCAGGAAATGGCATGTACCCCCTCCTGAAGGTCATTTCTTGGTTTAAAAAAAAAAGGTTCATTTGTGCTGAGATCTGAGTGCTTTGTGTGTACGTGTCACAGAGTAATGGACATTCCTGAAAGGTTCTGGTAACAAAGAAGTATTTTTAGCTGATGTGTGCACTGGTTGGAGTTTTGAACAGAAAATCCTTTTCCCTCCTCCAGGGGAGACCTGAAAAAGGACGATGTGTTCAGCAGCATCCGCAGTGAGCGCGTCCTCTCAGCACATGTCATTGATCAAGCCGGCATTGCAACATGTGGCATTCCTCAGTAAATTCAACTCCCTACTGATTTGATTAATGGGCCCACAAACAGAAACACCCATTCTTCWGCAGACACTCGCCCCTCTCCTCCTCCTGTTTCCTACCTCCTCCCATCCCATCATCATCACCCTCTCCTGCAAACACTGCTTTCTTTTCCAACACATGTTTCATCATTTTTCTACTTGATGCTGGAGTCAATTTGAGTTTCTTTTTCTTTTCTTTTTTTTTTAAGGACAAGGCTGATGGAGAGTTTACTGAGAAGGCACCAAAGGAGAATGTTGGCACTGAGGTTTGGGGCAGTTGTGTAAGAGTTCTGCAGCTTGTAAAARGGGTTGGAAACTTTATCCTACTGACTTAACCCTCCTGGCTTGAATGTGATCCTCCAGTGAATCAGCTCCGCAAACCCTGACAGCTCTGATTTCAGCAATGCACTCTCTCCTCCTGAGTTTGGACCACGATGACCCTCGTTGAACAGAGACCCCCCCCCACCAAAAAAAAAATTCACTCGTTTACACCAGATGCTTTCTATCAGTGCTTTTTGTTTGTGTAGAGGGGGTTGTTTGCACAATACTGGCAAGTCACTTCCTGTTCTAAACATTTCCTCAAATAGATGCATTTGAATGAGCATAAAGGGACGTATCAAGGTCCAGCTCGCCTGAATGTTAGAATTATTTTTGCTTCATTTGGATGCTTCCTGTTGCTTGAACCAAAAGTTTATGTAAAAACTTATCAAGCACCTCTTTGACCCCCTTAAAAAGATGATTGTTTAGAAAAGGCATCATCTTTTGTGATAGAACAAACTGTCAAGCATCAACTTACGCACCRAACTAAATTTAATCACAGAGTGCTTGTTTTTGTACAGTCCCTCTTGTCTTTGTAATTAGGTCAGATGTAATTTATTTCCTGTTTAGAGGAAATCTAATCATTCCTTTGATTTGGGAGCAAACTGCAGAAACAACAGACCACGCAGCCCTCCCCTCCTGTCGGACCACTGGTGTTGTATGTCTGTTGCTAATGGCTCAAGAATGTCAAATTAGTCAGGGAGATGCGTGCACGACGCTGTGATTCAAACACTTTAAGGAGACCAACATGATACCAACGCATGTTGAAAAAAAAAAAGAAAGGTGACAGCTCCAGTGATCTCACTGCCTCAGAGCAAGAAAGTCACCCACTCTGCAAAAACCAGAAAAATGTTTCCCCCACAGCAACATGTCAGGAGTTTGATTTCAAAACGGCCGAAGCCGATGAGAAATGATGAGTCGATTTGCAGGTGGTGGAGTTTAGACGTCCCAATGAGGAGGCTGACRTCTCCGCAGGAATGTTCTGCATCTTTTTTTAAAGGAGATCAGGCATCTTGTCAGCGGCGTGGGTGTGCAGCAAGCCGGAGTGGCTTCACTTCTCACGTTGACAAGAGTCGAGAGAAAGAGGCATCGAAGAAGGTGTCATTGTTGAGTAGATGTGTGTAGCTTCTAAGACAGTGTTTACATTGAGCGAGCCAAGTCATGCAATCTGATCTCAGGCCCTCTGAGTGCCCCCCACGCCCACCCCTCACACACACACACACACCTCTCAACACGAGGGCTACTGGAGGAAGTGCTGTTACCTCACCAAGACG